GTATAGGATGCAAGCAGATTTTGACATCAAATTTTGGGGTAAAAAAGTGTGTCTTATACACCGAAAAATACAATATTTAAAATATGAAGTGTATGAAGTTTTCTGAGGTAATAGGACATGAACAATAGGCCCACAAAACCATAATTTGGAACATTAACCAGCAACTCATTCTCGGCACTAGTTAGTAGTAGACCACAGCATCATAGCAAGATCTTTATTTACAAAAATAAAATTTCATAAGATAATAAAAATGAATCACTTACTCTAAATATGAAAAGGAAAACCAAGACAAAATTGAATATAAAACATTGAAATTAAATGAAAAAACTAATACAAAATTGAGCAAATAAAACAATAATAAAAGTATTTAATGTGTGAGTCTTTTTATGTTGTTCATACATTTCTCTGATACAACTGAAACTACAGATCAAAAAATAAAACTTCATTGGGAACTTTACAACTATATATTCCTTGTTACTGTTCCACTTAATAAACTAAAAGGTTAGATCTTTAACAGTACTACATTTTAATATAACAATTAAGTTTAGATACCTAAAATGTTTGCTTTTTCACTTAAGAACAAAACTAAATATTTATTGTTACCATTACATTTAAAGATCTAAAATTACTAGTTTTACTCACACCAGTGATAAATTTTATCATTAAACAGCTAAAAAAGTGTTTGCTGTTTTACTTGACAACTGAATAACATTTTGTTGCTATCAATAAGTTTAAAAAGAGAAAGTAAGGCACACATAGATGGTTATATATTTTTACTACTGGTCAGCACAAGTAAAAAAATCTGGAGCCAGGTACCCCCTGTAAATAAAATGAGGGAAACTGGGTCCTGTTTGGGTATCAAAAATTAAATAAACTTGTATTAAATTGATGTTAAATATTAATCTTTTCTGAGCACAATACATAGTTAAATGCTAAACATAACACATATTTCCTCTCTTCAGATATGCACATTTATATCACATCTTTTAGCACTGAAAAAAACAACAAAAAAACTCAGATTGAAGGGTTATTAACATTGAATGCATTGCATTTTGAGAATCATTTTCTACATTTTCTTTCAATTCTCAAAGTTAAAATTTTCCTACACCGAATAGATACTTACCTCTTCTCTCATAATAATACCCTTTCTTGTTCAGTATCTCCCTCTATTTGCACACATTTCTCGCTCACCACCAGCCTTCATATTCCCACTTAACCCATGAGTTTAACATGGTACAGTTGCAATGTAGCATGCAAATAATAGGGCAACAACCCTCCACCAATATGAGTGCAACACACTCTACTGGTGCAGCTGGTTCCCTCTATACTGTAGAACCAAATCTTCACTTCTCGATTAGGCAAAAAAGAAGCACCAGAAGTGGGGATGTAGGATGGAAAGTGTGAGAGGAGATAAGCATCTATCAGAAATAAATTTTCAGTGTAGGAAAGTTTTTAACTTTCGATACAATACCTTACCTCCGCTAGAATCCCACAGGGACATGGTGAAGGGACCAGTGCTAAAATTTACTCCAGTTCAAAACCAAAAACATTGGGTATTTATTGTCCGGTCCATGATAGGAGAAGGATCCCCTACCATTTTCACCTCAAGACGAGGAAGCAGAAGGAAAAACAAGATCCATTCTACCATCCTAGTCAGGGCACATGTTTGCAGACCTAGTACACAACCATCACCAGGCCACCCACAAATCCCACATCTGGGTGATGGTAGGAAGGGGGAATGAAACATGGTGATTCAATCAAGTACAAAACCTGGCTTCCTTGGGGATATATCATGTGGTCCGCAGTAAGGCAAGGGCTCCCTATCAACCACATGTGTCAGAACTTACATTGACTGGTCCAGCACTAACCCAATGCCAGACCACCCAGGAACTGACATCCAGGCAGCAGTAGGATGAAAGGTCCCAGCCAGAGAGGTGAACTACATTTTGGTGGATCATATCCAGTCTATAACCAAGTATTTTTCTTTTGGTTGGTACGGTTTGGAGCAGGCATAGATAGATTAGTATGCTTGGACAGGCACTACTCGTCTTAGAGTGTGATCCAACACACAAAATTGAGCCACTGTAAGGAAATAAATATAATTACCTGCTCACAGTTGCTCCAAGTTGTGGAGGATGGCAATGGGTGGTATTCAGTATTCCAATTAGGAGAAGATAAAATTAATGAGAGATGAAGGTATGTGCTGTGGTCCACACAATAGCCTGAAAGATCCCACCCCAATGGGTGATGGAAGTGAACTACCAGGGAGGAAGTGAGATGTTGAATCTGATGCAAGAATACCAGAAAAAGACACTGGTAAACAGGAGACAAGGAAGAATAAGCCAACCTCATAAGCTAGCAAACTCAACCTGTAAGGGTGAAAGGAGAAATATCTTGGGCAGAGGTAGGTTTCCAATGGATAAACAGGTGAGAATGGGAATCACAGAAGGAAGCCATGCAGGCAGCATAGCATCAGAGAGCACAAACAAAATGGAGAAGATGACACAGATTAGAGTGGAAATAGAAATGGGAAATGGAAGGGAGGAAAACAGTTGTAAATGTGACATCACATTCCAGAGTCATCAACTTTCCAGGAAAAAATTGTGATCCAGATATAGGATAAATATAGCTGTGGTAGTAAAGGATACATGAAACCTCATGGACAAAAAGACATCTAGCCTACGCTGATAAAGGCAAAAAGGAAAAAGTAGGAACATCCAGGACAAGTGGTATACTAAACAGGTAACCAATAGTTCATAAGAAGGTTGGGCAAGAACCTGAAGAACTACTTGAAAGTCCCAAACTGGAAGGGACATACGACAGAGTGGACAAAGGAGATGAAAGGTGCAAAACAAGAGGGAGAGAAAAAAAAAAGAGGAAAACACTCTACAGAAAAGGTACTGGATAAGGCTGCCAGATGACCAGCAATGGTAGTCACAGAAGAACCATTGTGAAACAGCCAGGTAAAATTGTCAAAGACATCAGGCACACTAAAATAGAAAGGAAGGTAACCGTGGCATAGAGACTAATGGTGAAAATGCACTATTTACTCCAATACAGTGGTAAGGACAAAGGATGGACTAAGTTGGAAAGAAGGGATGCTACAAGTGTGGAAAGTCCAGATTGCCTTGCAAGAGTCAAGACAAATGCTACACGCAAAGCTTGAGTGTAGTAATGATGGATGACACAAACACCTGCGGTTGTCAAAACATGGAGCAGAAGAGAGGAAGTGGTAATGGAGGAGAAGACTGAAACAGGATAAGGACAGGAAACAATGGTTAAGCAGGCCAGAAAGGTGCAATAAAGAGGACTAGACATGGAAAAGTATGGGGAATAGATAAAACATGAGAAAGGAGAAGGAAAGGAGGACAGGCATAAAAGTAAAGGTTGAACCAATTCTGACTGAAGGCATCTATTGTCAAAGCCTAAGGATGTGGAACCAGGAACTAAAAATGGGTTGGCTGGGAATTGAGGTGGGTAGCTAATGAATCCAGAAATGAAGTAATCTATTGGGCACATGACCATCAAAACATACGAGAAACTAGAGGCCACTCAATGGGGAGAATCTTGTTGGGACAAGACACTCAATCTGCAATAAGATTCAGAGTACCCAGAACATGACACCCAACTAGGTGTGCAGGATGTGAATGGGCCCAGAATAAAAGTTCTAACATTCAAAAACAGAACAAACATGTACCCTATTGTCGATTGACAGAAGACACAACAGTTGAAATGTCGTGATGGAGCATGACCAATTTGTCCCATATGAAATGATCCAATGTTTGATGAATGACAAGAAGTTGCAGAACATTGGTGTGCACAGCTGACTTGACTACAGACTCACAATTTCTAGGGAATGCAGAATAACTCCCCAACTGACAGAGAAGCAACTGTAAAAAGATGCAATCCAGGACAGGGAGGCAGAAGAGGAATGCCCACAATGGTGTTAACCCCCTGTTTGAGCCACCAGGCTAACTAGACATGTTGTGAGGGAGGGAGAAGGAGAACTGAGTCCAGGGGATCCTGAGCAAGATTATGTTTATCATGCAATACCCACTAAAAGGCATGCAAGTGAGCATGATCCTAGGGAATGAGGGCCTCCACAGAAACCCAAGTATCCAACAGAGAAAGAACCTTGCATGTAGTAAGAGAAGGGGAGGATTAAGAGTTCAGAACTAAAAGCTTCATTGATCTCAACAGAAGAGAAGGCTGGACCCAACTGAGATAGGAGTTGAAAAACCCTCAAGTGAATAATGTAGCATCATTGAGAAGAATATTCCAAAATATTTCTAAGAGACACTGACAAGAAAATAAGACCCTGAGGAGGAGGGAAGTTAACATTTTCCTAAATTGAAAATGTATTTCCAGGATAGTGCC